ATATAATTTTTAGAGATGATTTTGCTCTTACTGATTAATACTCTACTAGAGACTTGCAAATTTGCATTAATTTTGGTTTTCCCCATCCCTACACAAATCAGTTCAATGATGGATTAGCATATTAATTTCTGAATTGTGCTGTGGTGCTGAATTGTACTGTGGTTCTGAATTGTACTGTTACATACCATCACATTTAAAGTTGATATTTTTAATCATAATCTGTATTATAGTTCTAAAGAAGGTTTTTACTATGAAGAACTAGCATTTTAATGTAGACATGAACAGAATTTTTTAAAAGTTAATGTACAGGGGAGAAATAAATAGGTGAACGTTGTGATACAAACAAAAACCAGTAAGTCCTAAGGGATATGCCTCTTGCCAGACCAGACCCAAGAGGCACCAGTGTTTGTCCCCAGCACCTGATGCCAAGGGGCTTTGTTTTTTGTGAAATAGAATTTTCGGTGTTCTGAATTACAGGTGGAAAGATTTCTGAGTCCTCTGAATACTCTTTGCCCAACCAAAGGAGCCCAGCTCCCTTCTGATTGGGGAAGAGGAAGAACTAGAATTGGAAACTGGAACCGGAAGCAGGCTCAGTGCTGCCCGGACGTAGACTTAGCTTGGCAGCACCCTGCCCTTTGAAGCTCTGCACATTGCAGAGGTCTTTCCTTGCCCTCCCACCTCTTCACTGCCAAGATACCTGAGGATGGGGAGGAGCTTGGAACACATGCAGATTTGCTTTATTTATAGGTCACCAGCACAGATGGTTACCTAGAAGAGAAAAGATAGTAAACGCATGTACTTTGTCTTCAGATTGCCTGTGTACAAACAACTTTCTCTCAAGGGAGAGAGAAAATTCATCCCCAAAATAGGGAAATTATTGAATTTTTCTCTTGTTGCTTGGCATCAGCCACATTCTGCAATACACATCTCCACCCTCCAGCCCAGTATGAGACCCCAACAGCATATGTCCCCACACTCTGACACTAGGGAGAGATGATAAGCAAAAGCCAACAATCATTTCGGACAGTGGGGAAAGAGATTTGGAAGTCACGGATGTGCAATGATTAAAAGTGAACAAAGGGGCTGGTGATTTAGCTCAGTGGTTCCGCCGCTTGCCTTGAAAGCGCAACGTCCCAAGTTCAATCCCCAGTACCAAAAAAAAAAAAAAAAAAAGTGAACAAAGTGTGCTACTTCCCCTGCCTCTGCCAGCCCTCTTTACTATTATGTTTTCTTTAGCCAAACATTACCTTTGAAACACACACCGACAAACTTACAGATGCCCTGCTGTTGGGGCATGAACATTATTTGAAATATTCTGCTTTGAGAATAAAGAAAAAGAGAGAAAAGAAACCTTTCTTCCACTGATTCTAGTTCACGTGTCAGGCCATATTGTCACACCAGATGCATTTCATTTTCTGCAACACATTTGGGAAAGATGCTCTCTCAATTTGTGTGCATATAAAAAATATGCCAATTTTATGTATTTTGTCTTGATGAGGTACTAAAATTATCTTCGCTAGAATCAGAAAGTCAGTATTTTGAGATAAAGAGTGAGGAATGAATATGTTGCATTTTTTTAGTGTCTTAACAAAAGGATGTCATGTTTATGAATGTTAAACTTTTATTGTTTTTAAAGTAAATTTTATCAAAGTTGCTTTCACTAAAAGATGTTTTTGAGGAAAGAGTAAATTATTTATTGTATGATAGAAATGTTTTCAAACATAGCAAGAGCAATATCCATTCATTGGGAACAAGTTCTTAAGACTCCTGAAAGACAAAAAGGGCAAGATATTTTTAAAAATTAAGCCTACACATGAAGAACATCTTGCTTTATTAATCATCTGGCCTTTCAAAGAAAGCCTGTATTTAAAAAAATTCTCAAGTGTAATTTCAGTTAACTTACGCTATTTTTCAGTCATTTTAATATTCCTTCAAATAACACTACTTAATCTGGAGAAAGCATAGATTTGAAAACATAATTTCCAATGTCAGAAATCTAATATTCTTAAAATTAAGCTCCTAAAAGCAATTTTAATTAAATTTATGAAAACAAGCAAGATGGGATCTAGCTTCAGAAATGACACCTTTCAAGTTCAGCGCAAGAGAGGGTGGATGAGATCTTAGCACATTTTGGAGCAGGGTGTAAACTGCAGTTTAAGGTGTGATCACTTTTTGAAAAATATGAGATCTATGAATTTGTTCCGAAGAAAGAGAGCAAGCAGGGAGAGGTTTTCTTAGAGTAGGATATTTCCCTTTGCCCTTTATTAGCTGTTCTGTGGATCTGGCAGATTCAAACAGAGCCAGGGATCTTGTATAAATGGCAGTGTTTTCTAGATGGGAGAGAATGGCTTGAAACATATCAAGTGCTCAATAAACATTAGCGATTGCTGTTGTAGTTGTTAGTATTATGGCACAGTATATTGATTGAAGTTTTGTTAATAGCTATTACAAATAGGTAGTGGTTAAAAAAATAATAGCGAGCTTTGCAGTCTTTTTACTTGAAGATATAAATTTTTTTTATTTGCAGTTGTAGCAAGAGTAGCCCAAGATTAACCAAGATAGTACTGGTAGTGTCAGAACTTCATTCAGTAGTGAAAAAAGTTTTGAATGACTTTTAGCAAGTGTGTGCGTATTTTCATGAAAGAATGAATAAATACTTTGAGGAAGAAAATAGAATTAATAGATTGATAATCAGTAGGACAGAATTCCCTCCTCTGATTTCTTTTGTCCTATCGTTTAGAAATAATGGA